AGGCAGACTGGAAGCCTAGTCCAAGTTCATAGACTATGCCCTGTGTTGTAATCCTGAACGCTTAACTCCCTGTTGACTCTCTAAGTCCCTGGCAGTCCAGTCTTTCTGGGTGGGAATCATGAGTATGTGCCCACAGTAGTGACAGCCACTCATTTGCGAATCTGCTCTGGGCTCATCAGTAATGACTGTTCTGACAGTCTCAAAGCCCCAACAACCTGCAAATTTAAGAGCGCAAGGTAATGACAGTGTAACCGAGTTCTGTCTTGGTTGCAATGCACCACATGAACAAGACTTGGACAGCAGACCCTCACTGCACCCACCCCAGAAAGGCCAGCACCCGAGCTTGTTTTTCACTCTTACTCAATAACCAATTACTTCTAGAACTCAGAGGTTTGCAAAGCTTGAAGAAATGCAGGGACAGTGTGTCCTCCCTAACCCAGAGTGGGCCCATTCAGAGCCTTCCCCAATAGCCAAATCTGCCTTCCCTTCTCTAAAACAGGAAAAGAAGTGGAAAAATGGTCTGTGAAAAGTCCCTTGGACCACAAGGACACAATTGTCTCTGAGATGTTTATATCTTCCAGGAGGGAAATCAATAAATCCCTCCAAACTCAAGGGGACTGTGCCATGGGGGGGGGGGGTACTAAAAACACAACATTTCTTTTAAAAGATGGACTCATCTATATGTACATAATTATTTTATCCATGTGGAAGGTGTGCACACCTCATGTGTGCAGTGCCCACAGAGGCCAGAAGACTGTCAGATTCCCTAGAACTGGAGTTCCAGACAGTTGGGAGCTGGTGTGTGGGTGCTGGGACTCCAACCCAGGTCCTCTTCAAGAACAGTAAGTGCTCTTAACCATTAAGCGGCCGCTTGAGCCTTCAGCCCCTGAAAACGCAGTATCTTAACCAGCGCTGCTGAGCTCTGGAGGGAGACCCGAGCACTTGCCTCTTGCAAACCTCCCCTTAGCCACAGGCACCTTGAGTGGCCCCAGGAGTAGCCTCCAGGGATGTCAGGGTTCAGAGCAGAGGAAAAGAAGTGCTGAGTGTCAACCTGTCACTCGGATATGATCACAAACAAACAGGAAGTACTGGGCTGGGCTGGGCTTTGGTTGGTAGGGCTCACCTGTCATACATGAAGATCTGGGTTCAATTACCAACACTGCATAAATAGGCATAGTGGTATCTGCCTATAGCCCCAGAACTTAGGAGGTTCAGCCAGTAAGTTCAAGGTCATCCTAGCAACCTAGTGAGTTTGAGATTGGTCTTAATACAAAAAAAAAGTATTTTTTGTTGTGGTTTGGACACAGGGTTTAAGTTGCCCAACTTGGCCTTGATCTCAGGCCAGGCAAGCCTTGAACCTACGCTCTGACTCAGCCTCCTGAATAGCTGGGGTGACAAGTCTTTGCATTAGCAACTATTGCTGATAGGCATGGCGTTAGTAACTACTCTAGTAAACTAGGAGCTCGTGAGCCCAGGAAGCACTGCTTGGAAGACTGAGGAGTGAGCGAAGTGAGGCTTGCAGCCAGCCCAGGAGCCCGGGTTAAAGCAGCCGTGCAGGATGAGGTTGCTCACAGGCAGGGGCTTTGACTCTGTCACTGATGCAGAGTCACTAAGCTTCCATTACCAGTCACAATGGCCAGATGGGCCTGTCCTGTTCACAAAAGCTTTCCAGTCCCCTAGAGGCCCTCTAGCAAGGTGCAGCCATCAGAGCTGCATCCTCCTTCCTCCCTGCAGAGTGATGGGTGCCTGTCCCTCCCCCTCCTCCAATCCCAAACTCACTCTGTTCAAGTCAGGTGAAGAGTCCCAACGAAATAAACTGGAACTTGAATCTCAGAAAGTTTTTCTTATGCCTTCCATATCCATGAACAGCAGGGAAATCGAGCCGACGAGGTTAGCCTGTGTCCCACACAGTACCCAGCTCACCTTAACCCAGTCTGCTGAACCCACTGCAGGCTCAGGCTCCTTAATGCAAGGACTGTATCCTGTTGACCAAGAACTTGGCAGGTGGGACAGAGTTCTGCCAGCAGTAGTGGCTTTTTAAATAGTTGCTCAATGAGTAACCAAAGAAAGAAATAACAACAGCCACCCTTCATGCGGCCGGGCAGTAAATCTCAGCACCTGAGAAGCTAAGGCAAGAAGTGAGTTTGGGTTACATAGAAAGACACAGTTCCGAACACCCCCACCTTACCTCAGAAAAAGGAAGAGAGAGAGGAAGGGAGGGAGGGAGGGAGGGAGGGAGGGAGGGAGGGAGGGAGGGAGGGAAGCTGGGAACATTGGCTTAGGAAACAGGAAGGCAGGCACATGAAAGAACAAAGGGAGGGGGTAGTGATGGAGGGGGCGAACATGTGGAGGTCGGAAGACAACATGCATGGGTCGGTTCTCTCCTTCTACCTTTTAGGTTTCATGGATCTCACTCAGGTCATCAGGCTTGGCAGCGACTGATCCATCTTACCAGCCCCAGTGGGGCCATTTAACTGAACATCCCAGCAAGCTTCCCACTTGAGGAAGACTACTCAGCCCTGGTGGCACCAGGGGCCACCACCCCTCCTCTCCCTGCCCCACCCTTTTTCCGGGTTCTCATATCTTAACTTGTTTCATCTTAGCAACAATGTCAAATGACAGAAGAAAATACGTACTTGGGTACCACCCAGGGAAATCACCCAATTTTCAATTCCCTAGAACTTTATTTTTCTCCTTGGATGCCAGTCTTTCTATGTATTTGCCCTTTACACCAGAACCAAAGAAAGGGAGGAAGGAGGGAGGAAAGAGAGGGAGGGAGAGAGAGAGGGAGGGAGGGAGGGAGGGAACACTCAACTGGGCATTTGAAAAGGTTAACAGCATCTTTTAGATTAAGAGCTTCAGAGGGAAACAGCTAAGAAACACTTTAAATTCCATCATTCCTTACTCCATAAGCACGAGAAATTAACTTAAGACAGACAGACACACAGACACAGACACAGACACAGGCACAGACACACACACACACACACACACACACACACACACACACACACACGAGGAAAATACTTTCTATAGGGTTTTGTTCCCCAGAGGGTGAAGACTTGGGTCAGGGACCATGCGTGACACCATGCACTCCATATCATAACCTCCACTCCTGAGACAGGACCACAACTATGATGGTGGCACTCCCCAGTGGTCACACTTCTAGCGGCTGAACACAGGGACAGGGCAGGGCATGGTAGCAGGAAAATGGGACAGACCAATGAATGGGACAAGACTCTCTCTTTTTCCAAAATCAATGTGCTTCTGGTTCATGGGAAAGGACAGAAACAAACACAAACACACTCCCAGGGACATTTTGATGCTACAAAAAGACAATACACTGGGCCAGCACCGCAGGAAAAGGCAAAAATCTGATTTGTGGTCACATTGTAACACCCTGGAGAGAGACTCCTGAGAATACTTAGATAACAGAGAGCATTAACCTAGGGACAACAGTGTTGATTAGACATATGTGACCCAAAAACATATGGACTCAAACATAGGTCCTGCCTTTTCCTTTGTCTTATCATTGTTCGGGTCATCGGGAATGACCTGGCTGAGGTGTTACCTCGGCTTTGCCATAATATCGGAAGCGCTAATTTGCTAACCCTAGTGCTATTCTATCAAAGAAAGTACGCACAGTTGCTCCTGAGGGCCGAAGCATACATCAAACAGAACTAACTCACAAATGCACACACGTGGACACCAGTGGCAGGTGCAAAGTCTTCAGGCTCTCTCCAACTTCAGGGAAATCTCTCATATTTATGCAAAAGCCAGTACATCGTGACATCGTGGCGTGTGTGTGTGTGTGTGTGTGTGTGTGTGTGTGTGTGTTCGCGCGCGCGTGCGTGTTTAAAGAGGGGTCTACAAGAGCTCACCAAATCCTAAATTCTCTCCTTTTCATCTGCGATCCTTTCCTTAAATCTCTTGGTTTTCTCTGGTAAGACAACCCTGAGTTATAACCTTGACTCTGGCAAGGACTTGATATTTGAATGCCCACACTCCAACCTCCTAGGTAGAAAGTGCCCCTGGAAATATTTACTGTAAACAGAGTTAGGAACAAAGGGAACTTTTCTTTTTTTAAGGCACCACCTGCGGTCTAAGGTTGGCACGCGGCGTCCACAGGCCCCCCTAGTGGAGACGTGGGTCAGGAGCCTGAGAGCTGTACGCACATGGGCTCTCCCCAGGGAGCGCACTGCGCTACGGAGTTCCAAACACGGCAGCACCCAGAACCCCGGCGGGAGGCTCTTTAAATGCTCCCACCGACTACCCCCTCCCAGATTCCTGGAATCGGGATGTGGGGGTGGGGTATAAAGGTGAGGGTCTTTTGTTTTTATTTTTAAACCACACCAGGTGTGTAGCCCGGTTTGCGAGCCTGGTCACCTTTAAAAGAACTCCCACCGTATTTTAAGCTGGGTACTCGGTGTTGAAGGGCTCTTGGGGTGAAGGGGCACACACATAGTAAATACACAAAGTTCTTTTAAAATTTCTCCGTCTAACACCACAGCCAGGCACCTGTCTAGAAGCCAAAGGGTGATGCAACTTGGAAAAGTCCCTCAAAAGGCAAAATAAAAGTGCTCTTGTGGGGTAAGGGCTTTCGGGGTGACCTGCCTGGACCGGGCAGTGGCGCGCGGGCCAGGACAGACGAGCGACCACCAGCCCGTTCGGTTTAAGGAATCATCCTTAAGAGCACGCCGAGATCAAACACTGCAGGGAAGGACGGGGAGTGCGGTGCTTGGTGTGGATCGCCCCACAGCTGTCACTAGAGCCCTGCACAGGTTCGCCACCAACTATTCGGCGCGTCTGGGGTGCAGGGCGCGGTGTACGAGGCAGGAGCGCACCTCCAGCCCCGGGACTGCGGCGGCCACGCCGGGATCCGGGGACGAACGCTTAGGCTGAGCACTGCGCAAACCTAGGAGCCCCTCGCCGTCCCGGGCGGCACCTGGGTCCCGCCGGCCCGCGCACACCCTCCCCGCTCCGGCTCCGAGCTCACTTACCGCCTCCGCCTCCCGGGTCCCGCTCCCGCAGCAGCCCGCAGAGCCGGGCCGGAGAGCAGCGGCCGCCGCGTCGCCAGGAGGCCGCGCCAGCCCCGCCCCGCCCTGCAGCCGCCCGCCCTCCCGGGAGGAGGAGGAGCAGGCGGGTCTGCGTCCGGACCCTCCCAGCGACCCGGGACACAGGCGGACCCTGGACTGAGGCCCCTCGCGGGCCAGCCGGGACGCTCCCTGCCGTAGTGCTCCATCTGCGCCCTCGCCAGCACCTCCTCCCTACCCAGCAGCCTCCCTCTGTCCTCTCTCTTTCGGCTCTCCTTTACCACCCCTCCTCCAGGAAGCCTTCCCTATTTCGCAGTCCCACCCCATCCCAGATCTGTTTCCCCCACGATTCCTCACAGCCTTGTTCTCTTGGCCTGGATGCAAATCACACTGGTGGAAAAAAAGCACGGGGTGACTCCTGTAAGCTAAAGCTGGGCCTGGCTCTGAGGTCACGCGGCGGCTGGAAGCGGAACTGGCATTAGAAACCACATCTCAGGCCCTAGTTTATGTCATTCCCAGGAAAGGAGGCATTCATTACACTCCAACTGTGAGGGCCAGAGCGAAGCTTGTCATTTTCAAGCCTCGGTTTCCAACACTGTAAAGTGGACAGGACCCCCTCCTGAAGAATGGATTGCAGAAATGTCACGTAGTTTACCCTGTCTTAATAAGCAAATGTTTGCTGACATGTTGAATAAAATCAACACTCAAAAAATTTCAGTCACTCAAAATAGCAAGGTGAAAAGATTTCAAAGGGTAACAGCGATTCTTTTGTAGGAAAAACACAGCAGGAGAAAAAATGCACAGTGATTAAAGCGCTTGTATGTACAGGGCTGGATTGATGGCTCAGCTGTTAAGAGCAGTTGCTGCTCTAGCACAAGTTCCGGTTCAATTCCCAGCACCCACGTGGTGGCTCACAAACCTCTGTAACTCCAGTCCCAAGGGATCTAGTGCCCTCTTCTGGCCTCCTTGAGTACTGCATATATGTGGTACACAAGCAGACATACATACAGGCAAAACACCTGTACAAATGAAATAAACATTTTCAAGTGATTTTTAAAAAATAAAAACATAAAAGAGCAGCCATCCTCCCTAGAGCCCTTTGGAGAACTTGATTCTCAGAAACAGCGGATCTCCTATGCGTGCTCCACAGACAAGAATGGTTATGAATGCAGCCTTCCTCCCCTCCCCCAAAGAAAGTAGTAAACCTACTTAGAACATAAGGGTTTTGTAATTTTTGTCAAAAATTAATTGTTTAATTCTCAAGTCTGGACTTTGTAGATGACAAAGTTTCATGAACAATGTTCTTGGTTGAGCAGTGTTCTTGGTCAGACTGCTTGCCTGAGCAAGGGCATCTGGGTTTGGTGGTGGTGGTGGTGGTGGTGGTGGTGGTGGTGGTGGTGGTGGTGGTTTTGGTTTGTTGTTGTTAGGTTGGGGTTTTGTTTTTTTGTTTTTTTGTACTTCTGGAACATGGAATTAGGGAAATTGTCAAGGGAGACTCTGCTGGATGGTGGGAAAGGTGTCATATAACACACGCAGGAATACAGGCACCTCAAAATGCCTGCAATGGATCCTGCACCTGTCAATGAACACCAGGATCGGCAGAGCCCTGCAGTGCAGTGACCAGCCCAAACAGGAAGTTGTGTGGGGAAAGACGTTCCCAAATGGCTTCTAAACTTGATGACCAGATATGTGTCCTAAGGTAGTTTCCAGAAACAGATATAGGGATTTGGAGAGAGGGGTAGGTTTTTAAAGTTGTATTTAGGTTATGTTTATAGTATTGCCTGGGTATATATATATATATATATATATATATATATATATATATATATACATATATATATATGTGCATCATGCATATGTGTGTGCCCATAGAGACCAGAGATTGGATCCCCTGAAGCTGGAGTTAGGGGCGGTTGGGCATCTGTTGTGGGTTCTTGGGATCTGAACCTCAGTCCTCTGAAAAAGCACCAAGTGATTGATGGATTGATTATTTATGTATTTACTTGGTTTTTGATACAGGGTTTCTCTGTGTAGTCCTGCCTGTCCTGGTATTTGCTCTGTAGACCAGGCTGACCTTGAACTCAGAGATCCACCTGCCTCTGCCTCCCCAATGCAGAGATTCAAGGTGTGCACCCCCATGCCAGCTTGAAGCAAGTGTTCCTAACAGCTAAGCCATCTTCCAGCTGGAGAGGTTGTTTCTGTGAGAGCTACCTGGAGGTGGGGGACAACATATGATCTAGGCCAGGCATTCAGGAAGGAGGGTGAAGTGCCCTTACTCAGACAGGAAATGGAAGGCTCACCCAAAGAAGAAAGGGAGGGGTAGTGAGAGGTGTCAGGGAACCTGGGGAGCCAGATGAAGTCGGGGTGAGCAGCTCCTTGAAGAAGTGCCTGGACTACCTGTCACTCATCTGTTCCCACCTAGACTCTTGAGAGGGTCTGCAGAAAGTACATAGTCAGCAAACATTTGCTAACCATAGAAAAAGCATTTACCCATCAAGCCCGCTTCTCCCCAACAGGTAGGTTGATGATAATTAAAATAAGGGGAGTGGGTGCGGAGCAAGGAGAGAGGCGGAATGGGGACAAGCTCACCAGAGAAGCAGCTATCCATGCTCTACTGTCACTACAGATACTCAGGCCCGCCAGCCTGAAGGGAAAGGAAGCCAGTGCAAGCCTCTGATCCGCTGAGCCACAACTTTCCCAGTATCTTTCCTTCGGTGGAAGACTCGCCGTCTTGACTGCTGTGATAGAGCCCGGGAGGCTTTTTTGTGGGACTTGGTGTGTGTGTTACAGTGTATGTCAGTGGCAGCAAGCAGCCTAAAGCAAAAAATCTCAGGAGGAATCATAGCTTAAAATCGCCTCTTTCCTCTTCCACGTTTTGTGAACATGAAACGTGTAGTACCAAAATATTCAGATAACAGCGGGTAGGCAAGAGCAATGTGAGCACTGGAAGGGCCAGGGGAAGGAGGCTGCAGGCGAATGCACTTGCCTGGCCTACACTCTGGACACTTAGTCAGTGAGGGAAGCAGCGAGTGCAGAGGGCAGTGGTCTAGTCAGTTGATCAGTGAAGGAGCACCTAGGGAGAGAGATGGTCTGGTGAGATCCTTGGGAAGAGGTCTGTGTCTGGAGCTATAGCGAGAGACTGCCTTAGTCCGGGTTGCCCTAGAAATGGAGCTTTGAGACAGGATTTGGAAGCAGGCATTATATTCAGGAAGTGACACCAGGACGGAACAGTGGGGAACAGGAAGAGTGAGGTGGGGAAGATGGAAAGGCCAGCTTTGGGCCAGCTCAGGAGGTTGAGCTGGGCTTCTGAGAAGCATGCCCAGGGGCCCCAGAATTGGCGTCCAGAACCTCAGGGGTTTCAAGATTTCCACGAGACTCTGGGAAAGGTGCTCCAAGGTAATTTCCCTATTCTGGGCTACCCCTCTATTGCTAAAATTCCTTCCCAAAGAGAGACATAAACAATGTCTACTATTTTCCTAAGGCCCCGATGACTAACCAAGTGAGGCACAGTTCAGCCAGCTAACTCTGGGGAGCCAGCTGAGTTTATTGGGCTTCCTCACAGATCACAGGTGAGGGCTATTTACAGGGGTTTAGGTGTGCCTCCCAATATCACCCCAGCAGGGAGGAGAACTTCCTATAGCTACATAGACAGAGCTCCCATTCCCTAGTCTTCCCTATCCTATACACTCTAGCCAATCCCCAAGGCCTGCGCAGTAAGGCAGAGTCACATACAGCAAGTAGTAGGACATGGCGAGATACTCAGGTAAGGGTCTCCATGCAAACAGTCCGAGGGTCAGGCTGGAATAATCCTTTTGCAAAGGGACAAGCTGAGCTCCCCAAGATAGTGGTTGCTTGACTCAGAGGGCATGCTCAAAACTCCACACTCCAGCCCTGTGCTAAGAGGGCTCCTTGGAGCAGAAGTTCCCACTTGAAGGATCCAGCAGCAGAGCATGGAACTGTGCACACAGGACTTGTTCTCTGCCAGGCGCCCCAGTGCCCATGACTCCCCCCAGCAGCCCACAGTTTCTTTTGGCACTGTCCCATATCTTACCCAAAGTTGTCACAGTGCAGCAGCTCAAACTGTCTCCCCATAAGCAGCCAGAGGTCAAATCTCAGGCTAGCTCTATGGCATGCCATCATGTGCTCTTCTACCCTCCAGTAAGATCGGCTATACCCTCTCCACAGGCCTGGCTGAGAGCCAGGGAAGGAAGGCATCCCTTGGGTGCTCTGCCTCATGTCTATACCGTACAGACCTCTCATGTCTATACCGTACAGACCTCTCATATGAACGCTCTGTCTTGGCAGCCGGGGAGATGGCTTAATTTGCTGCATAAGCATGAAATCCCCACATAAAAAGCCAGGTATGTGGGGCTGGAGAGATGGCTCCAAGGTTAAGAGCACTAGCTGCTCTTCCAGAGTTCCCGAGTTAGTTCAGTTTCCAGACACCTCATGGTGGCTCACGACCGTCTATAATGAGATCTGGTGCCCTCTTCTTGAGTGCAGGCAAACATGCAGACAGAATGCTGTATACATAATAAATAAATAAATCTTTAAAAGGAGAAAACAAAAAGCCAGGTACGGACATACACGTAACCCCAACACTGTGCAGGGCAGAGACAGGATTACTGACTGCCAGCCTGGCTCTGGGTTCTGTGACTGACCCTGCTTCAGGAAACAAGCCAAGCGATGGCGCAGGACATCCAGCGTCTTCCTCTGGCCTCACAAGCACACTGGAGTTGTGCTGACTAATTTTACGCCACCTTGACACACGGGCTAGAGTCATTTTGGAAGAGGAAGCCTCAGCTGAGAAAATCCCTGCACCAGGTTGGTCTGCGGGAGCCAGTGGTGCACTTTCTTGATTGATGCTGCGGGCCCAACCCACTGCGCTACTACCCCTGGGTAAGCGGCTCTAGATGGTAAGAGAAAGCCTTGGTGAGCAAGTCAGCAAGCAGCGCTCTCCTCAGCCTCTGCATCAGCTCCCGCCCCCAGAGTCCTGCTGGCAAGCTCTGGCTGCCTGTGATGATGCACGGTGACGCACCCAGATGTGG